AGCATGTCAGGGTGAAGATTTAGAATGTCTTGACCTTTATATTTCTGAAAAAATTTCTTTTATACGCGCACAGCGCGAAGTTTTAGACGTTGAGTATATTCGATTGCAGATAGAGTGTGAAGACCTAGAAAAAATATCTATAAGTAGCATGAGGACTCATGAGAGGTCTCTTTATAAGGCCCTTGAAGATATGAAAGTTGAGCGACAAGCTTACCATGGTAATGTATTTGTAGGTAATCATTGTAAAATAGTATTAAGAAACCACTATAAACTTTGTAGTGTTATTGATGATGAAGCAATTAAAAATAGATTTGTACGTGTGTTTAGTGTTTTTAATAACTTGCAACCTATTCTTTTTAAGCAAAAATTTCTTTCTGATGCCGAAATTTCTGAGCTTCATCAATATATAAATTTATTTGCTATTGAGTTTCATGCTTGCTTTCCAAAAGAAAGTATCACGCGAAAAATGCATGAACTCATTTTCAATGTGCCACTATTTGTAAAATTGCATAAAACTATTGGGTTGCTGAGTGAAGAGGAGGGAGAGTGTTTGCATAATAGCGTAAATAAGGAATTAAGGCAGTTGCATTCAGTTAGAAATCAGGAGCAAAAGCTGCATCTTGTTTTAAAACGCTTTGAATTGCACAGCAAAGCTGATAGGAAGCCTCAAGCCTCTAAGGTGAGAAAGTGTGTTGTGTGTTCAGAGCGTGGCGAAAATTCATTTTATAGACAAGGTTTTTGTCTTGTTTGTGGTCATCAAATTTAGTTTAAATGTTTGAAAAGTTAAAAAAAAAATTAAACTTTTTACATCTAAGATAAATTATATAAGATCCTAAATTTACAAATAAGAGAATTCTATTCTGTTTTAATGCCTGATGTTTGTTCAAAATAATAATAATTTTTTATTACAATGATTTTATATATTAGGTAGATGCCCATTCTGTTCCTATTTTCAAAAGTTTATTATATCTATGCAATGCCTTTGCTCAGGTTAAAGAATGGAATAAAAGTCTAGCATCAAATGTATAGCTAACTATTTTAATTTGTGATCAGAGCAACTGGTATGTTTGTTGGATATGATCTTGTATGTTTATGTAGTTAATTCAAAAAACGTTTTATCCTTTGTTATGTAATATGTAACATTTTTTATATATATTAGATCTCCGTTCAATTTTTATCATCAAAAGTTAGTTCTACCTTCGCAGGACCTCTGCTCTACATACCTCCTCTCTGGTTAAAGAATGGAATATAAGTCTCATTTATCAAGTTGGTGTAAAAATTTAGCTTGATAAATTAAGAAGTTGTAAACTTTATTATCACAATTGCCAAGTTGACCAAATGTTTTTCTGGTTTTAAATGAATTATGTATGAGTCTAGTATCATCTGGGTGTTCAAAGATAGTTTACTGCTTGAAGAACTTATCAATGGACCAACTAATTATAAAACAGTTTTTAATGAAAATAAAAACGAATTATCAAAAGATTTAAATCAGCTATTTGTGTATATTTAAACACTTTATTTTTTGTGAGAAGAGTTATTGATACAAGTACCATAAAATAATTCTACTACCAAAAGCTAGGTTAATTCAAAACCTTTAACTCAATTTTGGTCATGAATTATTTTATTAGAATTGATGAGTTTTTATTTATTAACTACCTAACACCATATTATTAGAACTTTATTTTGTAATGTAATGATTTTATCAGCGTTCCAAAATAATTTTCTAAATCAAGAACTTCTATATTAAAAAAAGTACTCATTTAACAACTAATCCCCCCTTATAACGACGTTTTTCGAATTTTGCGAAAAATGTGGTTTGCTTTCACAATTCGATTAAGGCTGTTTTAGTTAACCTTAAATAATTAAGTAAGGTTTTTTTGTTTTCGTTATTGTCAAACAATAAGTGTATTTGATAATAACTATTAGGAATATATTTTTCTAATTTTTTTTTTGATAAAAAGTAACATCAAATTACAAAAATTTAGCCAAATTCAATATATGTCATATTTATTCTAAACTAAAAGAAGTTTTTCTACTAATGCATTAAATTTCATAAGGTAAAACATTTTATTGATGTCTTAATTGTTTTTACAAAACAAAATTATCTCTTATATTTCAAAAGTTATAAAAGTTTTAGTAACACCCCTTTAGTCAATATTTTCAAAAATTAACAAGAAGCCGTTAAGCTCGGTTTGAAACAGCCGTGACTTAGAAATAGTCACGTTTGAACGATGAGACATAATTGAATGACGAGTAACATGATAATGAATTTTAGTAGATGGAACAAGAGATGCTAGCTCTTTAGAGCAGTGCCCATTAAAATATTTATAGAAAAGAGAAAGAGAAATAACATTACGACGATGTGATGACGATTGAAAGTTGGCTGCAAAAGCAGATCCAACTATGTTTGTTAAATTTATTTTAAAAAGTTTAAAACTTTTTAAAATAAATTTAAATTTTTCTTAAGTTTTTCCCAACTCGTTGAACTGATACTATAAATTCTTCAAATAAGGGGCTATCCATTAAATACTTCAACAAAAAAAAAAAAAAAAAGAGGGGGGGGGGAAGAGGGTTTTGGAAATTTTTGATAACTTTTGACAAAAGGGAGGGGGTGGGGAGATCAAGAATGTTGACGTTAACAACGTTACTTTTTTAATAAGTTTATTTACTAAAAAAGAAAATTAGGCAGCGTCTGTTGTCTTGTGTTACACACTCACTCAATCTTCAATATTTTGATTAACTTATCTGGTTATTTGATTAAAAAACTTCTTTCTTCCTTTTTTTAAACGTGTTATGCTTTTAAAATACCCCACACGTAAAGAACTAAAAATGCACATACGAGATTTTTACTAGTAACACTACTATTTTTTCACATTTTATGCTTGTTGGTTTGTTTGGAAAACAAATAAAGATTTGTGTAAGTACATAGTCTACATTATATTACTTAAATGTTTATACCAGGGATTGGCAACCTGCTGCTTGCAAGCCAAATATGATGTTAAAATTTCGATGTTTAAACGCGGATGTCCAACTCCATCCACAAATACTGTTATTATATTAGATAAATACTGTTATTATATTAAAAACAAGATGTGAGTAGCTCTTTAAAAACTGGAAAATTTTCATAAACTGTAAACTTTGGCTCTTCCATCTTAAAAGATTGCCAGCTTCTGGTTTATTTAGAATATCAAATGCGTCATTTTGTGACTCTATAAGAAATAGTTTGCTTTCAATGTGAAACTTGACCCTTTTTAAGTAGTTAATCGGCAAATGCAGACCCTTTGGACAAGTTAATCGTAAACTTAGACAGTCAGTCGGCAAATGTCGTTAAGGCAGTCAGCAAATTCAAAAAACGAGGACCTTTTTTTTTTTAGTCAGCAAAAGTGGTAATTGCACCCCCCACCCCTTCCACGTAACACCTACTCGCGCCGGCCCTGGTTATGTACCTCAGAATAATGTTTTTCTATTGTATTGAAACCTAAGTTATAAGTAAAAAAGTTGCAGAGAAAACGTAAGTTAAAAAGTTGTTTTTATATGCCGTCTCCTAAAGTTTTTATTTTTCAAGTCAAAACTCAAAAATAAAAACAAGATAAAACAAGATAATTCTAACGTCGCGATATGCTACCGTTATCCATGCAAAAACAATATATATTTCATAATTTACAGATGAATATTTATATATTTATATTTTTAAGCTTGCAATTATTAAAAATAAAAAATACATGAAAATAGTTTTGTAAATTTAATCTTAATTCAGTGAGATTTAAAAATAATATATAAAAAAATCGCCAGGGTTAGAAGCCACGTGAGTTTATTTATTAAAAATGCCGAGGCACTCATGTTTATATCAACAGTTGACTAACGATATTTAATACAATATGCTTTTGATTTTTTCATTAGCCTCATTGTAATTATACTGACTAGCCTCGTTGTAATTATTGTTCTCAGCCCAATATTTTACAACTGGTTTTTTTTACTGTTGTTTTCTATTTTATTAAGAAGCCAGTTTGCTATAGTTTGAGCAAGTTATTATAGTACAATAACTTCTCCAAGATCGGTGCAAATTATAATAGCAAACTGTTATAATTTGTACCAATCTGTAACTTGATTTACAAAATAATACAATTGTAACTATTTAAGTTAAATTTTAAAAACTTGCCTGTAAATTAAATGAAAATTCAATTTGTGTATGTCATTAGGCTAATGACATACACAAATTGAATTTTCAGATGTCAGATGCTATCCTAATGATTAGGATAGCATCTGACCCGAAAATTTACAAAAAAAACTTGCAATTGAATGGTTGTAGAATTAAAAGACCAGTTATGTTTTGTAAACACACACCTACACACATGCACACATGCACACACGCACACACACACACACACACACACACACACACAACCACACACACACACACACACACACACACACACACACACACACACACACACACACACACACACACACACACACACACAAATAGATATTTAACTTAAAATATTGAAGTTATTAAAATTTTGCAACTTAAAGTTTATAATTATTCAATTTTAAGATATCTTTTCCTAACAGAAAAATATCTCACTTTAAAAGCACTTTAAATTTATTTTGTGTTTTTGATTCAATCTTTATTTTGATTTAATTATTTTATATTAATTTAGTTTACATATTGTCATTTTGATTTATAATTGTAGTTATAATATGTTCAGATTGCAATAGTGTGATTAAATAATTGTTATACAAATAACTTCTTTAACTTGAGTTTAGATAATAAATTATTTTTGATTTTTTTTTGATTTGCAAAAACATATATGTTTCTACAGTTTAAATAACTTTATTATTTTTAAAGTTTATTATTATTGTTTTCAAATTATAATTACATTTAAAGTATTAGTTTAGTGACAAAGTTTACTGTAAATATTTAAATTCAATCAATACTGTTAATTCAATATCATTAATAGTAAAATTGATGCAATTAAAAAGTTCATTTTGCATTATATTTAGTTTGAAAGAATGAGAAAAAGAAATCAAAATTTTGTTGAAGAAAAAAGTGCTGTGCCATTAGAAAAAAAGTCTTGCAAGAATCTAGATAAAACAAGTCATGAATCAGACAACGAAGAAGCAGAGCTTGAATTGTTTCTTTTTGGTGAAAAAAAGGAAAAGCTTATTGAAGAATGCAATTTTCCAGATAAAATTAGTTCAATCTCAAGTAATAATGAGGAGAGTTCTGATTTACTAGCATTCACAATTAGTACTACTCCTGATATACCCTCTGATAAGATGAGCTTAAACGATCAGTATCAGGTAATACTTCAAAATATTTTGTATATTGAGTTTTCAGGTTAGGATGTTTATATAGTATTTACTGGGTTAGCCAGAAAATATATGTTGTTGAGTCTGACTTAATATAAGACTTGCATACAGATTAAATATAAGAATGGCGCCTTAATTTTTATACCATGCAACTAAAATCATATTAATATATAATTTGAAACTAGTTACAATCAGTTAATTTTGAATAGTGAATATAAATTTTATGATTAAATTGTTGTTTAAAAAGTGTAACCTACATAACCTTACTTATTCAGTTGTGTAAATTGTTTGCCCCCTTTTTTTTTCTAATGAAAAATATAAGTTTTATATTCAGCAAGTGCAGCTAAATTCGATTTTAATTCAAAAAAATATAGAAAATAAACTGTTAAACAAATTAGGCTCAGAACTTAAGTTAAAGATAGAATACTAAATTTTGTGCAATTTTTGCTTCTGAATGGAGAAGCAAGACGTCTACAGAGAGAAAGTTATTAAGAATTATTGGAATTAAAATAAGTTTTCTCAAGGCAAACACCCTTCATGATATACATGCTAGGTTATTAGTGTTTTCCATTACACTGTAATGGTAGAGCAAATGGCTATTGTCCATTTTCTCAATCATTTGTACCATTGTTTTTGCTACAACCTTCAATTTAATTTTTAATTGTTAAAAATAAACAAACCATAAACTAAAAAGAGAAACAAACTTAACAAATGATGAAATAAAAAAAGGATTAACCAGAGAAAATAAAACCATGAAACAAATATATTTTTAAATTTAGAAGCGTCTCAATAACTCAAACTTAGTTAATTTAAAAACGTTTTAATTAATAGCTTGAAACTAATAATTTTTTCTGTATTGTTATAGAGCTTAGGTTGATTAATTATGACATTAATAAGGTGCAAATAATATAATATTAGAAAATATTTAGTTATTAAATAGGTTTCAAATTTTTAAACTATTAACTTTCAAAGTAATTAAATTTATATTAAATAACTTTAAAACTTTGATTTTTTCTAAATTCTTTGCAGTGAAACACTTTTAAATTAAAATAAAAACATTAGTTTTACGCTTCTTTTTTTTTTCTGGTTTATTTTTTATTCATTTTATCATTCATTAAAATTTTAATTTTTTAAATTTAGTTTTTATTTCTCTTTCGAGTTTATAAATTGTTTATTTTTAATTTTAGTTTAAGTTTACATTTTTTATTCTGCACATTTTTTAAATGTGTTAACTTTAAACATGCAAGGAGCTGTGGCCAAGTTGTCAAAACAATATATTGTATGCATGGTTATGTAAGGCATGCATCTCCTGAGATGGCTTAATATAAGTAAGTGGTCTGGGCCCTGGGCCCAGCTAAAAATGAGACATGCAAAACCAGCCCTTGCCAAATTATAAGTATTAGCAGAGGTTGATAGACTAGGCTAAAAAAAATTTTATTATACTTTGTATATTATAATTATATGCTTAGATTTTTTTTTTTTTTTTTTTTAATTTGCATTCACTCCCAACAAGGCTGCAAGCAACCACTATTAAGTTGGGAGTTACTAGGAAAAAAAAGAACAGAGTTATAGAGCAAGGAAACGGTTGACAGAAGTCTTGAAAAGTTGAAGGTTGTAGGAGTCAGGAAAACATGAAGATGGGATAGAGTTCCAAAGGATTGAAGTGCGGGGAAAAAAACTAGATGAATAAAAGTTTTGGAATCAGAAGTAAGGAAATGGCAAGCACGATAAAGCAAAATGGCGAGCACTATTTGTTAAATACTGGCCTATATTTATATATTTTAAACTCTAATTTACTTCCAACAAAGTTGCAAGCAATCACTAATAAGTTATGAGTAACTTATAGATTATTTATAGTTAATTAGAGTTACTTATAGATACTTATAGTTAATTATAGACGATAGGTTTAAAAAGCTAGGAAACGGTTAACTAAAGACTTGAAAAGTTATAGGTTGTAAATAAAAGGAACTTGAAGATGGGAAAGACTTATACGATTTTTTTGATGTGCAAGAAAAAAACTGGATTAATAAAATTTTTTGCAGCATGAAGGGACAGATACAGTAAAAATATGCAACTTGTTGAATAAGAAGTCAAAAAAGAATGAGTTTTGGTTTATTGTAATAGAGATGATAGCAACAATCGACGAGTAGCTAAAGCTTGGCAGATAAATCAGGTCTAATTACATTTACAATGTGCTTTTAGACTTTGTCTGAGAGTAAGAGGGTTGTTATTCGTCAATATAGGAATGCCAACAATATAGCAATATTTTTTTGCAGTAAATAAATAAGTTTTGTTGTCTAACAAAAATTGTGAATTTCAAGTCCTGACTTAAAAATTGACCACCAAAAGAATTAAAATCCACAAGCCACTGCAAGCCTTAGCTGCAAGCTGTTACAGAAGAACACTTTTTTAAGACTAGGATAGAAATCTTGTCTGAAGCATAAACTGTGGAAGTGTTTAATTAACTTTAGCATTGGAAGCCATATTAATTTGGATGTTTAAAATTGGTTAGTCTGTTTAACTGGTTTGGTAGGAAGGCCATATATGTATAGCCATATGTATGGCCATTAGATTCAAGAGTCAAGTTAGAGGAAATGTTCTAGAGAGAAGTAAAATGATCAGACCCATGAATTAGAAATTGAATATTAGACTTACTTTAGTTAATGACAGTCTTTAGAACTTAATATCTGAGATAAGATACAAGATTTAGTAAACTAAGAATAACAGAGTTTAACATCAGACAGGACCTTTTTTTATTGGCTTTTTACCATTATAAAAGGACATTTATTCTAAAAATATTATTTTTGTAAAAAGAAATAAAAGCTTCCAAGATGCGGATTTATGTATACATAATATGGGTATAAACATATATGTTGGCTATTTATTAAGATGCTGGCATACAGTAGCACTTGCCAAAAAAGAAAATAATCAGATGGATATGTGGTTTAAAAGAAACATTGTATCGAACAACGTTTGTGAGAGAAGATTATAGTGATTGAGGTATCATCATGTAGCAGGTATGGTACCCTAATATATATATATATATATATATATATATATATATATATATATATATATATATTACCCTAATATATATATATATATATATATATATATATATATATATATATATATATATATATATATATATATATAATATATATATATTACCCTAATATATATATATATATATATATATATATATATATATATATATATATATATATATATATATATATATATATATATATATTAGGTTGTCCCAAAAAAATAAATAATCAGAGGCCCCCTCAATGTGTTCTATATAATAAAAACACTGGATTTAAATTTTTTTTTAATAAAAAATATTTTTAGGGGTCCCCCGAGACCCTTGAATATCAGACGGGTCCCTATAATTATCAAAACAAAGTTCTTTAAAAGTATATCATGTTGGGTCTCAAAAGAAGCAGAATTTTTTAAAAATTTTTAAATAATCATTATTTAAGGAAAAAATATAGCTAAAGAAATTATAATCACAAAATCTTGTTAAACTCCCTATTTTTCAATTTTAGTTAAAAAACGTCATTTTCTGTTCACTAAAATCTAAAATAATAATTTTTTTATAAAATGATGATTATTTTTGATATATATATATATATATATATATATATATATATATATATATATATATATATATATATATATATATATATATATATATAAATGTTTATGCAGCCCTGGTCACCAACCTGGCCCCTAATATATTTTATTAAACCTGGTCTTGACCCCTGTCGAATTTCAACCCCAGTTGCTTACTACTTGATATATATAAATATGTGTGTGTGTGTATATATATATATATAATATATATATATATATATATATATATATATATATATATATATATATATATATATATATATATATATATATTTAAGGAATCATTTCCAATTCAACTGAATAAAAAAAAAGAATTAAAACCAGCATGGGTTGATGAAGATGATAAAGAGGTTTGGTAAGTGTTTAAAGCTTTTATATGTAATTATGTAGTTATGAGGCAGTAGAGATTAAGTACATTTTTCTTGATTTACGCATTTATTATAAAAGATAAGTATGACAAATTGTTGTCAAGCCATGTATTGGATAATTTTTATCATTACTATTTTCATTGCTTATTTAAAGTTGTTAATTATGCAGGATATATGTTTTATTGTCATGCTGTCGTTATTTATGCATTTATCTATGAAAAAATTTGTTAAATGCAAATACCATAATATTAAGTAAATAGTTCTTTTATTTTTATTTTTCTGCATTTTTTTTCTAAGGTTTAGCACCCTTGAAATAAAAGGCTTTACAATTATTATTTTGGTATTTTGGAATTATGATTAGGATATTGTTGTTTCTAATATTAGCTTCATGAGATTTTTTTCAGAATTTTTTTGGATTTTTATTAGTTTAAATTTATAACACCTCAATAAGTAAACAATAGTACAATCATTATGTCTTGCACATTTTTTGCAACATCACACTAATTTATTTATTATTCCAGATTCTTACATTAACACAGGAAAAAGTTCTGTTGCTTCTCTCTTGTTAGTGGGAAATTTTGGTTGAAAGTGTGATATTTACCATTCCCATGTATCAAATTTACTAAAGGCCTGATGCGTTCAAATTAGACATAAACTAATTTAGACAAAAGAATCAGACTGCACTGTATAAATTAATTAAAACTAAATAAAAATTAAACATAAAAAAAAATTTAACTAAACTGTATAAAGTAAATTAAATGTAAAACGAATATTTTCAATAAACCCTGTTAATTAAATTATAAGCTGTATTATAATATATATTATAATTTAAATATATATTATAATATATAAGCTAATTATAAAATGAACTAATTATAAAATGAACACCACAACATATACACATTAATTTAATTATAAACAAAAAACGAATAATTTCAAGAAGCTGCATAAAATAAAAATAAAAATAAATTAAAAACAAAACATATAACATCATTAAACCATATAACTTAAATAAAATAAATTTAATATAAAACAAGTATTTGTAATAAACTGTATTGCTGTATAAACTGAATATAAAATGAGTGACTTGAATAAACCATATCAATTAACTAAGTAGAAACTAAATAAAACAAATTGTTTTACTAATAACTGTATAAATTAAATCAGAATAAAATTAAAACTAATTTTTGTACTAACATATATAGAAATTAGTTAAAATATAAATATAAAAAAAAAGAGTCGCATTACACCATATAAATTAAATTAAACATTAAAAGAACAAGTTTATTAAAAGTAAATATAAAACGAGAAACTTCATCATACTGCTGTGATTTTCGCTCTGGCTGCAAACTATAGCGTTCACAAAATGTGTATAATTTGGTCATGATTTTAACTGGGTTTCTAAATAAAATAAACATAAAAAAAGAAAAGGAATAAATTTTATAGTAAAACAAATATACTGTTCCTACTTTCTTCTCTTAATTACCTGCTTTAACAGTGAACATTAGTTCAAAATAGTATGACTACTGCGCTATTACTTTTTCTAATATAATCAATCACTTCTTATCTCACAGGATTTATGGCTAAATATGTTCCACAAATGACTAGACTTACTTATTCTAATTGCGAACTTTATATATAGATTTAGTAGCGAGCTGTTTATTTATTTTTTGTATGTTTACTTTATTAAAAGCTGCTCATAAATTATACCAAATTTTACAGTAATGGAGAGGGTTATAGAGTTTGTAAACATTGTAAGGAAGAATATGGGGTATTTATTCTAATTTTGTGGCACAAAAAATATTTAAAAAAATTTAAAAATGGAAAGATAAATTGTGTTGTATTTATTTAGCTTTGAATGTCATGATTTTCATAAAAAGTTATTCTATTAGTTAATGTTTATAGAAAAAATATAACTTTTTGCTTTTTTTTTTGTTTGTTTAAAAGAAGAAAAAAAACAATCGAACTGCTATTGTAAATTCCTCCTTGTTGTCAAATCTTTCAAAAAAATAAGTTCCTTTAAAATTGTTTCAATCATTAAGCTGCTGCTTAATGATTGAAACAATTAATCAGTTTGCACTAAATCTGGTAAGAGGGTGAATAAGGCAGCACTTACCTGCTGCCTTTTTTGTCAGAAGGCAAGCTGCTTTAAGAAAGAAATTGTTTCATGGTGGTTTTTCTTATTTTTAATGATGGTTTATGCGAAATTCTATTTTTTATTTTAGCTTTTTTAGTCTATTATATAATGCAAATAGATAAATTAAAATTCTGCAGCCTTTGAGAGCAACCGTGATTCTAAAGTTAGTGTTAATCTATATTTTGCTAAATATGTTGCAAATTTTAGTTTATTGTTTAGTTTATTTAAAAATAAGTATAGATTGTCAGTTTTTTTTTGTTTATCAATTAAAGAAGTTTTTTTGTTTATCAATTAAAAAACTTTTTTTTGTTTATCAATTAATGAAGTTGTGTCAATTTTTTTAATCAAAGTAGTCACTAGATGAATGCCATAAATTTTATTTATATATAAATTATTTATTATTTTATTTATTATATAAATTATTTATTATTTTATAAATACCATAAATTTTATTATTAAATTAATTATATTGTTGGTTCAGTAATTTGATTAAATTTGCTTTTGGAAGATGGTAATCATTGCTGTTTTGGTTCTGATTTAAGCTCTGAACCTGTTTCTCTGCGCAGAGTTAAAAATTAACATCTTAATTGTTAGCTGAGAGTTCTACTACTATCCTACTACTTGATATGAATTTATTTATCAACATTGCGTTACCAATCATCTGTCAACATTGTCTTTTGAATGTGGTAGTCAACATTGCATTCTAGTTCAAAAAAATTCTTTTCCATGATTTAACCTTTGAGATTATTTTAATTTTTTTATCCACCTAAATCCATAAAATTCATTTTGAAAAAAAACTTATTGATGTCCTAACCCAAACTCTTAGTTGATCTAGCAGCAACACACAACAACAATGCGGTAGTGGTGTAGTGGTAGAGCGCTCGCTTCATAAACGAGTGGTTCTGAGTTCGATCCCCATCGCGTCCCTGGTAGTACCGCGCTCAACTCGTTTCTCCGCGCAGCGGCCTTGTTCGTCAAGGTTCGTGTTTTGGAGTTATAGAGTTGAGAGAGGATTATAACCACAAATAAGTAGCCTCCTCGTCTGTAGTAGTCTTCTCGGCCTTGAGGAGGTGAATTAAAAATAAAAAAAAAAAAAAAACCCTGACCAACACCCTTGATCTAGCAGCAACACCCTTGGATATTCAAAATATCCCAAATTATAAACCTTTACTTATTCAGTTTTTTATAAAAATTTAAATTGATATGAGTTTATATAAATTTATGAATTTTACATATTTTTGTTTACATTTTTTTTTTTTCATTTTTAGCATTAGTTTAGACAAAAAATCATTAAAACGATATAAGAAATCTGCAAATGAAGATCAAGTTAATGGATTGAAGTATCAAGAGCGACTTAAATCTCAGTAAAAATAAAAAGTTTTAAAATATTTATTTCTTAATTTTTAGTTATTTAAATATTTTGAATAATTCAAGCCTTCCCAGGAAAGGCGTGCGATTTTTCGTCTCGTACGACCACGAAAACGTTTTTCAAGTTAGAGAACGTGATCACGGCCTTTTGCGCAAGTTATATTATATGCGTTGCAGATAAGATGTTTTAAATTTAATAACTACATAAGAATTTAAAGTAAACTTAAATAGAAAACAATAATAATAGTTTAAATAAGTTGACTTTCCTATATTTTATGTGTTTTTTCTTTTAAAGAGGAAAGAGAAAATATGTATCGTCATCTTTCGTTTGTAAAATATTTGTATCGTCATCTTTATTTTGTAAAATAAAACGTCATCGTTTGTAAAATATATTTGTATAATTATAATGTAACAAGTTTAAATCAAGAGTTAAGTTATACAATCGCGATTTGCAAACTCTAGTAAAATATTAGGTTTTTAAAATTTTAGTTCATGCAAAGTTGTGTACTTTGTTTATAATGAGCAAATTATTAAAAGTTTGCTAGCGAGAAAGTTACAAAAAATAAAACAAAAACAATAAACTTACGACTACAAAAGTAATAACACTTTAGCCACTAACTGCATTAAAAATGTAATAAAACTATAATAGTGTTATTATATTTATAAAGCACTTATTGCTTTTAAAGTTCATTCTTTGTTCAAACAACATTATTAATTCCAAACATTTATTAAAGTAGAAAAGCATCTAGAAAAAATAAAGCGGATATTCAAATATTATGAAAAATTTCAGGAACTTTCACATATCACTTAAACAGCGTTATAAAAAAGTACTTTATAAAAAGTATAGCATTATGAAAAACGTTACTTAAAAACGCACGTAAAATTTAAAATCAACTAATAAAAATTTTTTATTGGTTATTTTTAAAATTAACGCGCGTTTTTATAGTCTATTAGTAACGCTTTTCATAATGCTAAACTTTTAATACGATACGTTTTCATAAAGTTGTTTGTCAGGTTTTTATAAGTTACTTTAGTTTTAATATTATTTGAACATCCACTTTATTCTTCTAGATATTTTTCTACTTCATCTAAAATTTAAAAATACTAATGTTGCTTGAACAAAGAATGAATTTTAAAAGTTATATGTGCGTTATAAAAGTAATAACACTATTATAGTGTTATTACTTTTGTAATGCAGTTAGTGACTAAAGTGTTATTACTTTTGTAATCGTAAGTTTATTGTTTTATTTTTTATTTTTTCGCTTACAAATTGAAGTTGATTCTCCCCTTATAAACAAGGAACACGGTTTTGTATAAACTAAAATTTCGAATACTAGATATTTTTTCAAATTTTTACGTTTTGCATTCGCTTAATTCAACCCTTGTTGTTACATTAAAATTATACAAATAAATTTTACAAACACAATGCAATTTGTATTTTTGCTATCCTCTTAAAAAAAATTAAGAAAAGGAAAATCATTCTTTATATTGTAGACTTCAAACTGTTTTTTTTTTTGCTTCGCCTTATCTAATTTTGTTGCTGAATGTAACTCTAAAAAAACAAAAATAAAAACAGTACACAAAATATTTAAATAATTAATTTTTTTTTTATTATTTTTTTTATTTCAATCTCTTTTTATTTTGTTATTTTTTTGTTTTTTTTGCTTTTGAAACTTTCAGCATTATAATAAAACTTACAAATGGCCGTGTTCATGTTTTCTAAAATAATATAATCGTGTGTGGTCTTACGAGGTGAAAAACCGCATGCCTTTCCTGGGAAGGCTTCATAATTTATTAGTTAATTACTAATTTTTAACTATTATTTAAATATTTTGAATAGTTTATTTATTATTAATTTAAAAAGTTACTTAAAACTACATAAGTGCGACATAAGTGTGAATCTTTCCCATCTAAAATAATACCTAAAAAGTTTTTAAAGATAAGTCTTTTTATTTGAATGTATCACTTGGAAGTAAAATTTGAGTTAACGTTCAAATTTTACTTCCAAGTGTGTTCGTTTAGTTTTATCTATATTGAATAAAAGTTTATTTGGTTCAAACCAATCAACTCCACATTCATATTATAAAAAAGTCTTTCAATTTTATCACTATTAGCAACAAGTTTGCATCATCAGCCAATATAGTTGTCGTTAATTTTGAGATTTTATAGAGATCATTAGCATAAAATAGAAATAATAAGGAATTTATTATAGATTTAATATAGTTATATTTAAAAAATCTTTTTGGCGTAATTTTTATAAATAATTTATACAATTTTTATAACCCATGGTGACTTTTATTGGTTTTAATAAGTTCACGTTTTGGAAAATTTACAACATATTTCTTAGAAAGTTTTGTAAGAATGTGTCATACACTTTGTTTGCTTCAAATGACCTGTTTATATGGTTCCAATTTATTAGGGTTAATTGGTACTTGATTGATAAGGATAACTGATGCAAGGTTTGAATCAGTGAAAAAGTGTGTTAAAAAAACCTTCATGTTGATATATATATATATATATATATATATATATATATATATATATATATATATATATATATATATATATATATATATATATATATATATATATATATATATATATATAAAAATTATTAGAAAATCACTTAGCAAAATTTTTTTCTCATTTATAAAGACTCATTTTTTTCTCATCAATAAAGTTAAGTAATAAATTTTTTTCTCATCAATAAACTCATTTTTTTCTCATCAATAAAGACTCATCAGATTTCTGATGAGTCTTTATTGATAAAACACAGTGTTAAATGAGAAAAAATTTTGCTAAGTGATTTTCTACTTATTTGTAATTGCTCTGTTCTTTTAAGAACATAGAGCACTCTTTTTGTAGAATACATTTTAAATTGTTTAAATATATATATATATATATATATATATATATATATATATATATTATATATATATATATATATATATATATATATATATGTATATATATATATACACAGGGTGCGACAAATCGACAAACATGTGAACATCTGCTAAAAAAAAAAGACAGAAAAACGAATGTAACGTTTCTTTACTTTTCCTTACACAAAAGTTGGCATTCGCTAAAAATATTTCAAAACGAACACATTACTTCAGTATTTTTTTTTTTTCCAAATAATTAAGCGATTGATCGTTTTTTATTTATTATAAAAAACACATAATTGCAACAAAAAACAATTAAATACGAAAAAATTTAGACATATTTTTAAAGACTTTAAAAACTACAATAAAACTACTTACTTCAATGGAACGAAGAAAGTAATTATGTACAAGCATGGTTTTTGCATGCTTTTACTAAAGCATTCAAAATTTTACTTAAAATGACTGCGTTTGCAATAACTTTAAAAAAACCATGCTTAAACTTTACGATTGCTTTCTTTAATAGCATGCTTTCTTTTTTTCTTATTGTTCTTAAAGTGAAGTAATGATTGTTTGCATATTAAGAAAACTTTTAAAAGTTTAAAAATAATTTTTAAGTTTTGCTAAAAAATACATAATCTAATAGAATAAATAAAGTTATTATGTTTATTATAATTTTAATTTTTTATTGTGTGTTTAATAACACCAATAATATGATATTTTTATTAACTTATTATTAAATACTTAATATACTATTATTTTTAAAGTTTTTAAAAAATGTCAAAACAACTAAGCATTTTTTTGATGTTAAAAAAAGAAGGTACAGTAGAACGTAGCAGTAAATGCAAAGGAGAAGAAGAGAGAAAAAGTAAGCATGTGAAAAAATATTAAATTTATGCCAAAAGATATTGAATTTATGCTTTGAAACACCGTAAATGGATTGCCGCCAAGCAATAAAAAGCATGGGCAACAACTAAGCTGGATTTATATTGAAAAATAAAATGAGTGTTTCTCTTGTTGGGTTGCCATAATTATCCAAATATTAGCAATGCAACCAATCCAGTAACAATGGGATGTAAATTTTAGAAAAAGAACTTACATGTTAAGCCACAATAAAGATGATGGGCATAAAGCCTGTAATCTCTAAAAAAATCTTCACAATATACTCCAAGTCTTGAGAAAACTGTATCGACATCAATTTTATTAACGTCTGAGAATAACCAAGAAAAATTGAACTTTTTCTTATATGGTATTTTGTTGTTAAAGAGGACCTTGCATTAAAAAAATTTCCTCAGCTGTGCGAGCTAGAAAAGCTAAATAGAATTAAGTTAGAACTACTTAAGTGACAAAAAGTTTGCAAAAACTTTGTTTCATCAATTTCATCTGACTTAAAATGCGATTAGACGTATCAAATGCTTGTTTTATTGCAATTTTATCTGACTGATTATTTATCTGACTGATTATTTATCTGACTGATTATTTCTGTATTATTTTTATGTATTAGTGAACAAGAAACAGTTTTTTTAAGGTTTGTTAAAAACGGTAATCCAATAAATATATTTGCTGGTATTAACTCACCACTGACAGTTGATGCTGATGGTATATTAAATACAATAGAATTTGTTTTAAAAAGTTTAACAACAGGCAAAATGAATCAAGATTTATATTTAAATAATATCTATGCAAAAACTGTTAATGTTAACTTTGATGGTGCATCTGTAATAGGGTGTCCTAAAAAAAAAAAAAATGCTATATACTGATTTCTATTCTATGTGACCTAAATAAGTACTAAAATTAATTTGACTGTTTTATTTTGACAGGAAGTGCTAAATGTAAAATCTGAGTTTTAATGTTTTAATGTTAAGCTGGCTTAACATTAATAGAAAACTCAATTTTTTTACATTTTAGAAAATTAAAACAAAACAATTAAATGCGTATAAATCATTTCCAATTGTTTTCTACTATTTAACTTGATAGATCATATTTATAAATATGAAAATACTAATATTTATTAGCAAATTTAAGATTTTATTGCGGTGAAACATTTCTAAAAAAAACACAGCTTTTTGAACAGTTCCGAAGCTCCTTTTTAGTCATACTCTTAGTTAAGTTTT